CTGCAGTTGTTATGGTGACTATACTGTCCCTTTCATTTTAGTTACATAGTTACATTGCTGAAAAGAGGCTTGCATCCATCAAGTTCGGCCTTCCTCACATGTTTTTGCTGTTGATCTAAAAGAAGGCAAAAAAACATAGCCTGTAGCGCTTCCAATTTTGCAACAAACTAGGAAAAAATTCCTTCTTGACCCCAAAATAGCAGTCAGATGTCTCCTAGGATCAAGCAGCTATTACCTCACTAATTAGAAATTATATCCCTGTATGTTATGTTTTGCAAGTATTTATCCAAACAAAGAATTCTGCAAACTAGTACATTAGTGGGGTGCATATCTGAGAATCAAATAGAAGCGTCAAATACCATAGTTACATCGGAGTTTTAAAAAGTCAATTTTTTTGGGTGCTAAAAAGTACATTAGTGGGGTGCACTTCATATCTGAGAGTCAAATAGAAGCGTCAAATACTGCTGTCACATTGCAGTTTTAAAACTTAAACTTTTTTGGGTGCTAAACTGCTAAATAGTATTTTAGTGGGGTGGACTTCATATCTGAGAGTCAAATAGAAGCGTCAAATAGTGCGCTTACAGCACAGTTGTAAACATTCTAATTGTTGTGGTGCTAAACTGCTAAATAGTACATTTTGGGGCATGCTCTTCATAGCTAAAGTCAAATTGAAGCGTCTAATAGTGCGCTTAAAGCTGAAAAGAGGCTTGTGTCCATCAAGTTCAGCCTTCCTCACATATGTTTTGGCTGTTGATCTAAAAGAAGGCAAAACATCTAGTCTGAAGCGCTTCCAATTTCGCAAAAAACTAGGAAAAAATTCCTTCTTGACCCCAAAAAAGCAGTCAGATGTCTCCTTGGATCAAGCAGCTATTACCCCACTAATTAGAAATTATATCCCTGTATGTTATGTTTTTGCAAGTATTTATCCAATTGCAGTTTATACATTTGTATGGACTCGGATAAAATTTGTGTTTCATTTAATCACATTTTTCACAAGTTAATATATCTTGCTGTGGCGTTTTTTCCCACTACAGAATTGTATATACATTTTCAAACACTAACACCAAAAATGTACAAATGGTGGTGTTAGAGCCCTATGTATACAAAGTAGTTATAACAGATGGAAATATATTTATATTATAAAAAATACAGCTAGATTGATACAAGTTGATGAAATGCATTCAAAATGCATTGTGAAAAAGATCACACATTGTCACAGCATAAATTGTATACTTCATCAAAGTTTTCTAGTATAGCGTAGTGCCTAAATCATATTTTATATATTTTGTTTTGTAAGTATGATTTAAGTAAAGATTTGATGTTTGACAGGTCAGGGATGCTGGTGTTTCTGTAATACCTATCATTTAAGATTTATGTTACTTAGAGTAGGTGAATAAAAATACAATTGTTTTGGAAGGCTAAAGGGGTGAAGGTCCAGCAAGGATATGTCTGATTGTAGTGGTGATCTAATGTTAGTTACTGTATGAATTAATTCGAAAGACTACTATATGAGCAGAACAGAACCTTCTTGACTACACATTCTCCAACATAGATGAAAAGCTGCATTTTAGATAGCATTGAGAGAGTAGGAAAAAGGTACTAACGATTTAATCATTTTTAATATCTTCATATTGATTTATGCAGTGGCTGAAACTCATCATAGAAGTGAGGATCACCATTCTCTCATCTTTTGAAAATACATTTTGAAGGTTATATAACCCCAATTTAAGATACATTGTTATATATAGAAGTTATATACCATATTGACCACAAGCATAATGAACTTGGGTCACTGAGGACACAAACGCACAAACTTCATGGCATTTTGTGAATGTGACCTCTTAAATATTGTAACTAGAGTTGAGCAAACCCGGACTGTAAAGTTCAGGTTCGTACCGAACATTAAGTTTTTTGGGTGGATGTTCGGGTTGGAGTTCGGTGTGCGGCGATCTAATGGCGCATTTTGAAAGGCTGCAGGGCAGCCAATCAACAAGCGTTTGACTCGTGTGCCCTTAGAAGCCATCACAGCCATGCCTACTAATGGCATGGCTGTGATTGGCCAGTGCAGCATGTGACCAAGCCTCTATATATAAGCTGGAGTCGCGCAATGCCGCATGTACATGAGGTCTTATTAGTGTAGGGAGAGGATGCTGCTGCTGTGAGGGACAACTTAGGAAAGAATTCTGCAAACTAGTACATTAGTGGGGTGCACTTCATATCTGAGAGTCGAATACAAGCGTCAAATACCGTCGTTACATCGGAGTTTTAAAAAGTCAATTCTTTTGGGTGCTAAATAGTACATTAGTGGGGTGCACTTCATATCTGAGAGTCAAATAGAATCGTCAAATACTGCTGTCACATTGCAGTTTTAAAACTTAAAATTTTGGGGGTGCTAAACTGCTAAATAGTATTTTAGTGGGGTGCACTTCATATCTGAGAGAGAAATAAAAGCATAAAATAGAGCGCTTACAGCGCAGTTGTAAACATTCTAATTGCTTCGGTGCTAAACTGCTAAATAGTAAATTTTGGAGCGTGCTCTTCAAATCTAAAGTCAGATCAAAGCATATAATAGTGCGCTTACAGCGCAGTTGTAAACATTCTTATTTTCTGGGTGCTAAACTGCTAAATAGTACATTTTGGGGCCTGCTCTTCATATCTGAGAGTCAAATCGAAGCGTCTAATAGTGCGCTTACAACGCAGTTGTAAACATTCTTATTCTCTGGGTGCTAATCTGCTAAATGGTACATTTTGGGGCATGCACTTCATATCTGAGAGTCAAATAGAAGCGTGTAAGAGTGCGCTTACAGTGCACTTGTAAAAAATCGTATTTTCTGGGTGCTAATCTGCTAAATAGTACATTTTGGGGCGTGCACTTCATATTTGAGAGTGAAATCGAAGCGTCAAATAGTGCGCTTACAGCGCAGTTGTAAAAATTCTAATTTACTGGGTGCTAATCTGCTAAACAGTACATTTTGGGGCGTGCACTTCATATCTTGGAGTCTAAATGAAGCATCAAATAGTGTGCTTACAGCGCAGTTGTAAACATTCTAATTGTTTTGCTGCTAATCTGCTAAATAGTACATTTTGGGTCCTGCTCTTCATATCTGAGTGTCAAATCGAAGCATGTAATAGTGCGCTTACAGCACAGTTGTAAACATTCTCATTTTCCAGGTGCTAAATAGTACCTTTGCTGTGTGCACTTCATATCTGGTGTATGTGTGCAACACTGGTTAGTTATCACTTCTCAAGAAAGTCTAAAGACAAATAAATGTTGCCTATGGTGCAGGTAGTAGAGAAGGCAAGACTGAGACAAATCATTCGGGTTACGTTTGCCTGTTGACATTAAAATTCAATAATCGATGAAAAAACAAAAATATGTATTATAGACAAGTTAAAAACAAGACTACAAGTCATGCTATAACAAAATGAAACAAGTTTTAAAATATGTATGGGCCAACCAGTGGCTGTAAAAACAAAGTTTTACTGGTTACATTCATGACTACACACTCTAGTGAACAGGACCTTCATGTAGTGTGTTTTTTTTTAAAATCATACAGCATCCTTTCGTGTATTTTTCAGATGTCATATTGTTAATTAACAATTTGTGTTTAGCCTGTTTTTTTTTTAAAAAAGTGAAAAATAAGTGTTATTGTGATCGCTTCATATACAGAAGCATTAATGTAAATTTCTATATTGTGTAAAGACACAACTGCAAAGTTAAAAACCAAACACCAAAGCAACGTGCCAGACAACCTACCTGTGCATGGCTAGTGTGATACAATAAGTCTACATCTTAAAAATGCAATAACCCACAGAAGATGGGCGAGAATTTTTTTTGCAAATGGAACTTTGATTCAAATTTACTACATCGGTCACTTGTAATATTGTTTCACACCTACAACACTTGTTACACAGATCAAAGTGATAGAAAACAGATTGATATTTTCTACACAAGAAACTACCAGATAACAGGCTGCTATATTTAAACCAGTTATCAATAGCTAAGAGGTACTTAAACAATATTGTAATTCTGGGGCAATACCCTCACAAGTCAAACTGAGAGGTCAGTTTATAGGAAAACTGTTGCCTAGATACAATTCTAAAACAATTTCCATATGTCCTTTGCAGACTTTACATGCTGGAAAAACACAGGTGCCAACTGCTGTGTCTTTCTACAGTGTGCATACCGTCAAGGAGGGCAGGGTTGAGGAGAGGGTGGAAGATGATGTGGAGGATGATGAGGTCCTAGACCCCACATGGAATCAAGGTCATGCAAGTGACGTGTGCAGTTTGGAGGAAGAGGCGCTGGTCGCACAGATGCACCAGCACATCATAAGAGGGAGCAGGGTGCAAAAGCGGAACGGCCGTCCCCTAGCGCTCATCGGCATGTATTATCTTTAGAATTCCCACAGTTATCCAAGTAAAAGTTGAAGCGATAAAAAGAACCATAACAGATTTAACGAGCCATTCGCAGTTTCACAGTCTGGTGACTGGGACCCAGACACTGTCTGGGCAGCAGTTGGACAACCGGGACCCAGTATGCCTGATGTAGAAGTTAGGAGTCACAGTGTGGAATGGATTAGCAGGGTCTGGTGCAGGGTACCCGCATGCCCCCTGGTGTTGAGCACCAGCGTTTGTGCGGCCACATACCAGGACCCTGATGCAGCTTCAGTAAAAAGAGTACTGGATACCAGAAGCCATCACCAGACTGATCCACAACTTGGAACAGGATGTGACATTCACTATAGCAGCTGTGCGCGCTTTCGGCATTCTCACCCTGCTGCTGCTCGTCTGTTTGTCTGTGAGAGACTGTCTGAGCAGCAGCAGGCGATAGTGGAGTTTCAGCTGCAGCACGCACGGGTCAGTGGCTCTGCACCAGACTTCCCTCCAATTGATCAGAGTTAAAGGATTTCAAGTGGACTCATTACAATTACAGGGCTTCTGAAGAGTCCTGTATTATTTGTCGTCACTACCTCGAGAGTGGGTCACTTGCGCACCTGCTGCTTTCCTTGCATGTGGTAGCCATTTGTCAGGGTCCCTGTATGGAATTGAACCCTGATTCCCCGTTACCCATGGTCACCATGGTATGCGCAACAATGGCATCAAAAGTTGATAAGGATTGACATACGAATGCGTCGTCGCCTTTTCATTGGGGAGCACATTGAAAAAGTGCTCTAGCATGACGAGCTGGGTGATCTCCTCCAGGAACTTGGCTTGATGGGAGTTGAGCCAGTTCTGGGTGGCCCTTGTGATGCCACAGTGTATATCCAGATATATTAGAGCTGCTGCAAAAAGTGCGGGCCGTCTGTGCGCGCTTTTGGCGCTGCTGCTCACCTGTCTGCGCTGCAGCGTAACTTCGGCCTCCTGCTCACTGCCTCATGAGACTGTGTGAGCAGCAGCAGACGATAGTGGAGTTTCACATGCAGCACGCATGAGTCAGTCGCTCTGCAGCACAGTTTTCTTTTTTATATGTCCCAATATTTTGGGGGCTACCCCAATTAAAATAAAAAATATATAGGACAGATAACACAATCCAAAAGAGCAAAGCACATCGACTCTGGCGCCCCCCCCTCTCCTTTACTTCTTCGGTTCTCTGTTATCTTTACCTATCTCTCCTCTCATGGTTTTATAACCAATAACTCTTAAGTGGACTAATGGTAACTCGTTGTCTCAGATAAACCCCTAGGTAACTGACGCATGGGCCTTAAGGAGACGATAAAGAGGAATGGCCGATTATCATCTGCTACAAAGTACAAAACAGATGGGCTATCAAACTATATACCGGTTGCTCCTGTCACTATTTGTAAAGGCTGACGACTTTGTTCGATACATGCACACGTTCTCTACCAAAGTCAATAGGGAACCTAAAACAATAGGGCACGGTGTTTAGCGGGATACACTCTACCCAAAGAGGCGCACAATGTTTGACATGGGATGTGTCATATATCAATGCACAAGCTGCCAAAACGCGCTGTATCCCACCTTGATAAGGTAAAAGATGTCCTACACGAGATACTCCATAGTAAACATATGCATGACATCTTCAGGCTATATCTCTAGTGTCGACTAAGTCACCATACTGGTACATAATATGATCCTCTCCTATATTTCTTAAAAACCAGTACAGGATGGCTAACAAGGTACCATAGCTTTTATTTTATTTATAAAAAAAAAGAAAAAAAAAAAAAGCCTACAGCAACCTGACATGATACACAACATTTTGCAAGCATACCAGTTGCCTAGCACGACACATGCTACATTGGAAGGGGGCGAGTTACTGTACATGGTATGTCTGTCCATTGTCTACTTTTCTCTCTTAACAAACTGCAATAATTGTAAAAATGGAAAATTGTGCTGTATTGTACTTGGACACGTGTTGTATGTTATGCCTATTACCGCTTACAACGGCTATCGTGGCTGAGTAAGCATGCTGTTTATTTCATGCACAATAGAAAATAAAGAATTTAAAAAAAAAAATATATATATATATATATATAAATGTAAACAGTGTTGGCTACCTCCTCCTCTTCCACCGCTGCTTCCACCTACACCACCACGGTTATGTACACAATAGCAAAGGCTTGTGAAGGCCTTTTCTCCATGCATCAGGAGTTGAGCATTTCTCCATGCATCAGGACTGCAAGAAATGCACCGCAGGCCGCAAATGCGTCTTTTTTTATATGGACCAAATGCCAATATTTTGGGGGCTACCCCAATTTAAAAAAAAATTATAAAAAAATAAAAATAAAAAACAGTGTTGGCTACCTCCTCCACCATCGCTTTCACCTACACCGCCACGGTCACCACCTCCTCAACCTATGGGTCACGTAGTATAAACTATGTACACAATAGCAGAGGCTTGTGAAGAACTTTTCTCCATGCATCAGGAGTTGAGCTCAGTTTGAACAAAGAGAATACCCTGCACTCCAACCCTCTCTCAAATGGACAATTCTGTTGATCCTCCTGACAGCCATGCTTTAGATTTTGATTTATGTTCTTCCAAAGCTAAAATCAAAGATTCCATCTAGTCGAATTTTATGGCTCAGCTGTATTTTTATTTTATTTATTTTTATGTTATTTTAAGTGATTTCCCTATCCACATTTGTTTCCAGGACTTTTTAGAGGCATTTTTGTGGCCAAAAGTTCAGGTGCCCATTGACTTCAATGGAGTTCGGGGTCAAGTTTGAGCACGAACCCAGACTTTTTTTCAAAGTTTGGCCGAACCCACCGGACCCGAACATCCAGGTGTCCGCTCAACTCTAATTGTAACACGTTTTTCTTTCAAATTAAGACTTTCAGGGTTATTTACTAAAGTGAGGATTCAAATGAATTGAAAGTGAATCCAAATCTAATGCCAGACTGGCTAAATAGAGAGCATAGCTGAATTAGAGATTTTTTTCCGCTGACCTTTTTAACTTAAACTTAAAATTAACTTTGAATTCTCATTGTAGTAAATAGCCCTGTTAGAATACTAGCTAGCCTAGCATAGAATTGTGAAACAAGTGTTCCATTGCACTAAACAGTTTGCCATACCAGACTAAAAGGCAGAGAATAAACATTGCTAAACATAAGGCAAGAACTTGGATAACCCTTGAACTCATACTACTTTACATTTTGATTTTATATAATGAGTAGGGAAATATTAATGGGAAGGTTTAACAAGCTATTATATTAATCCACAGAAAATTACTATAGGAAAAATACATGCCAAGAAAAGCATAGGGCCTTCATATACACCCACACCAAAAAAAAAAAAGATGTGTTTAGGGCGTTAAAGATAGAGAGAGTAGATTATTTCTTACTATTCCAGCTACTGTGCAATGCAACCCACAGATACACATACACAGACATACACAGATCAGCCACAACATTAAAACCACCTGCCTAATATTGTGTAGATCCCCCTAATATTGTGTAGATCATGCAAACAGCTCTTTGTAAAGGTGTGGACTCCACAAAACATCTAAACATGTTCTGTGGTTTCTGGCACCAAGACATTCATGGCAGATCCTTTAAGTTCTGCAAGTTGTGAGGTGTAGCCTCCCTGGATCAGATTTGTTGTTCCAGCACATCCCACAGATGTTCAACTGGATCTTAGGAATTTGTAGGTCAAGGCAACACCTTGAACATTTTATGGTGTTCGTCAAACCATTCCTGAACAATTTTTGCAGTATGGCAGGTTGCATTACACCATTGCCATGAAGGGATGTATGTAGTTTGCAATAATCTCTTGGTAGGCCAAAGTAACATCCACATGAATGCCAGGAACCAAGGTTTCCAAGCAGAACATAACACTGTCTACGCCAGCCTGCCTTCTTCCTATAGTGCATCCTGCTGTCCAGGTTAATGAAGCACACTGCCATTCTGGTGAACTAAAAGAAAACGTGATTCATCTGACCAGGCAACCTTCTTCCTTTGCTCCATGGTCCAATTCTGACACTCACATGCCCATTGAAGGTGCTTTTGGTGTTGGATAGGGGTCATCATGGGAACTCTGACCGATCAGCAATAACTGAGATGCATTGTGTGTTCTGACACCTTTCTATCATGTCCAGCATTTAATTGTTCAATAATTTGAGCAACAGTTCCTCTTCTGTGTGATCAACCCAGACTGCATAGCCTTTGATCCCCACGTGCCTCACTGAGCAATGGGATGATGCAGGTTCACCGATTGTCCTTCCATGAACATGTTTGGTGGGTACTAAACATTGCATACTGGGAACAACCCACAAAACTTCCAGTTTTGGAGATGCTCTGACCCAGTCATCTAGCCATCACTATTTGGCTTTTGTCAAAGTCACTCAGATCTTTTTTTATTTGCCCATTTTTCCTGCTTCCAACACATAAAATTCAAGAACTGATTGTTCATATGCTGTCTAATATATGCCACCCTCGACTGGTGTCATTGGAATGAGATAATTAATGTTATTCACTTTACCTGTCAGTGGGTTTAATGTTGAGGCTGATCAGAGTATATGATGTCATGTCTAGAAGACTATATGTCCTGGGATACCTGAGATTTATGGGATCAATGTGATTTGCTGCAATTATTAATTCCTTCCCTCTCTCCTTGCCGACACATGTCTTTATCTCTGTATTTCCATCCCAGTATAGGAGATAGGAGATTGAGAAAATGAATGACAGCACCTGTGGAGTGTGACAACAATTAATCTCAGGCTGCCAGGACTTATACGTCATGATGTTGCACTACGGTTGACAAAAGTCATTGACAGATCATATGTTTCACTGTGTCACATAACAATGTGCGTTATGGATATATTGCACGGTGGGAAGTTGCATTCTGCAATTCAGGTTCTAAAAACACAGTCTAGCTAAATAAATATCATGCAGACAGGCAGATCATGTTTTAGTTTATGCAATAATTGACCTGTTGCCCTGAAAAAAATTTAACATATAAATTGGAGATTATTCTAGCCTTGGTGAATGAATAATCTAAATTTTATTACAGACATAAGACAAATATTTGATTAAACCTTCTTTAGTGACACCTGCAGCAGCAAAGAAACAGTTAACACAACTTGTAAAAAAATCAACCAATCAGTATGAATTTGGGCACATAAAACCTTTAATAGGACCCTAAAACTTCCTCTTTCTTTGATGAGATTGAGCAGGAGAGAAGCATGCTCCGAGAAGAGTAGAAAAATATGCATCAAATACATTAGAACACGAACCACTGGAATCCAAAACATTCCAGATCAAACTGAAAAGAAAAGAAAAGAAAACATTATGAAAGTAAACTGTATTAAAAGAAGTCATAGTTAGCAGTAAGGCTATGCATGTAAATTTATATTCAAATGTATATGCAATATATTAAACCAACAAATGCAACATCAGCAACATGCAGAAGAGTAGAAAACATCATAGATATAACCATCCCAAGACAAAGTATGGGAAACACAAGGGGAGAAAGATTTGCCTCCTATACTAAATAAAATGTAGATTATTAGTTCACCAAGGCTAGAATAATTCCCAGTTTTACAGCAAGACAGGGGTTGGTCATATTTGCATTTTTAACTCCTACAAACAAAAGCAAAGGAAGCATGTAAGTAAAGCTGAAAATAAAATGTCCAAAAGCCGATTCATGAGACCAATCAACCACCAGCCAGAACTTGGACAATGAGGAACCCAAGTCCATGAACGCTGACACCATGGTGCCTAGCA